GTGTTCCATATGTCGCTCATCTCGGGGCGCCACCGCGCCACGCCGCACCACGCCACGGCCGCCGCCCATTTCAATTAAACGTATTATATCCACTCGCATGAGGACGCCAGCGCCATCCACCATCAGCGCGGACTCTACTTCACTCTTCCTGCCGGGCTCATGGCAATCGCCCGGGTGGATAACGGGCACCCTCTCCCCACACACACACACACACACACACACGCGTATAAATCGTGCAGCCCTTTGTGCTGCGAGTGCCCTGCTGCTGCACAGACCGAAATACAAATCCGGTATTCCTGCCTGCTCTTAGGCAGTACTTCTTCTAGCCGGAACGAGAAAAAACACTTTTGTGTTTGTGTGGGTAGTTTTTTTTTTTTTTTTTCCTTTTGTATTATTGTTTGATTTCCGTTTCCCGGTACAAATTTGACGAATAAAAGTTTAAATCAAGAATGTACCGTTTGAACTTGACCACAGCGGCCCGTTGCGATTGGCGGCACTGAGCCGTCACTAATGGTCTTTGATTTCGTCCAGAGCGGCGCACCGCACAGCTGAGGGCAGATGAGGTCGGTGAAGAACCATACACCGCAAAATGATAGCAAAGAAAAGGTTCGGGAGATTGAATGGGTTCAAATTTTTCTTTGCAGCTTGCAGGGAGTTTTGAAGGCGTTGTAATACGAATGAGTTCTTTGCAGGCTTGCAAACTATTTCTTTGCAATAGTAACACACAGTTTTGCAATAAACTGACAGCTTGCAATTAATGTATTTACAATACGAACTAATTCTTTTGCAATACAAAGATAAAAAAAACTCTTCGCAACGAGTGCAACCTCGAGTGCAACTCTTCTGAGGGCGAACATTTCATCCATTTAGCACAAAATTTTCGCATACTAAAACTCAGAGCCCCTATAGGGAAAAGTTTAGAGTGTGCCCTCCGTGCCGGAAGCCGTTAGGTGGTAAAAGAGCCAATTAACGCTAAGCAGACTTGAATGTAAACGGAAGGACACGGCGTGCGGGAGTGAAAAGGGAACAGGGACCGGGGAGCTCAGAGCCGAGCTGGTTCCCCGAAAATCCCAACGCCGCATCAGAATTCAGCAAGAGGAAAAGCGGCAGCCGCGCTGGCCAGCAGTCATCATTTATTGAACGGTGTTTGGGGGGAGTTTAAGACTGCGGCGGTGGGGGGCGGGCCCATCCCACAGGGTGCTGGTGGGGAGGCAGTGAAGAATAAATACAAGACGGCGATCGAGAAAGAAAAGGTTGTGGCAGCAGCAGCCGCAGCTCCGCGGGGCCGGCCGCGTGAAGCGAAGCAAACGGAACACCATCTGCGCCCGCCACGCCCCGCCCGCGGCCAGCAGCACCGACCAGCTCGGGGGGCGGGCCAGGCCGGCGGCCGAGCGGGCAAAAAGGGCCGGGAGTAACTCGGTTAATCTTTCAGGGCCCGAGGAGGTGGCC